ATAAGTAAATAAGTTAGATCTGCGTTTAGTTGTTACTTAAAACTAGAGTAAAAATGGCTGCTGCGCAAATAACTACAAAATGTTCAAAATTTAACAGAAGTTAGCAGATTTTTATATTATTTAAAAAACCGTCTCTTCTTCTTCGTTTCAGGTTCGGCAGGTGGTTCCACAGCAACTTGTCGTTTTGGCAACAATGGCGGCGGTTCAATATTGCTCCCGTTTTCATCTCGACTCGACTGTGTATTTTGTGTTGGTGAATTTGGACGTCTTAGTATTGAAGGTAAAGTTGGTGGTGATGCCCTTGTTTCGTTTTCATCTTCAGCAATTTTGCCCAATCGTGAACCGTGCACAGAAGGTAAATCTGAAGGAGTTTTTATCTGTGAACCATTTTCATCACCCTCAGTCATTTCGTCGAGTTCGCTACCCACACCAAAACCAATAGTAGCGCCAAGTTTGGCACTGGCGTGTTTAAATGTGTCACTTAATTTGATTTGTACCACGTTGATGAACATGGAAGTCAAAGCCAAGCCAAAGATCAAATAAATTATACTGCACATCATAAAAATGGGATGATCGGGCACAAAATCACCAAACCCAATAGTTGACATAGATATGAATACAAAATAGATTGATTCAAAATAATGCCATTCCTCCCAGATTGTATATACAGCAGCACCAATCAGTATGTAGGATATTAATAAAACAGCGGCAAGAGATATAGGTAAATTAAACTCATCGTCTATTTCGAATGTCTCAGGATATGGTGAAGTTGGTGTTTCTGGATGTGAAGCACTAACTGATTTGCCCGGCTCAGATGCTTGTGACTCAATGTCGGTATCGGGACCCATGCTAAAGAAATGACTGGGACGACGTATGGCTAAATTGTAGGCAGTATTAAAGCCGCTTATTGCATCACGAACTTGTTGCTGTTTACGTATCTTTCGACAGGTGCCCGTATAGTATAGACGCCTAACATACGCCCATAGGAACTTCATGCCTCGGGTGAATAGTTTACCAAAATCAGCAAGGATGATCAAGAACATCGGAATGCCAATTATTGCATAGACAATTGTTAACGATCGACCAAGAACAGTTTTTGGAGTTATGTGGCCATAACCTAAAAAAGAAATAACAAATAATAATGGTTGTTAGAAAAAATACATTATTTATAATAAATTTGTAAATTAATTTGCTTGGTTTTTAAGAAGGTGAAACCAGAACATAAAAAGCTAGACTTCAATATTATTGCTACAACATTTGAAAGGAGCTACTTACAGTGCTTAATGGCCATAGATTGTCAACAAATCAATCTATTGAGTTTTTAAAATAAATTATTCTCAACTCTTGAATTTAAATTCTGAAATACTTCTCTGGAAATGTGCTCAATTAAATTGGTAGGCCAAAAATTGCGATCAGAAGATATCAGAATTGACTCATTGTGATACCATTGAAACTTATCTATATAAATTTTTAAAATATTTCTATATAGTTTACTCATATCTATATTATGAGTAAAGGTAATAACAAGCTGTAAATATTTTGTCGTAAAAATCGTAGCTGTTTAACAAACACGTACATTAAAATAAAATAATAATTTATATATATTATAACTAATTATAAAAATATTATAACTAAACAATAGAAAATTGTTAATAATGTTTAATAAATATTCGACAACAAAGTCCATAATTGTTGAAAAGAGTTATATCCATATTATACACTTTACATTCATATAAAAACCATAGACACATTTGTATACTCTTCAAAATCCTACCTATCGTTGTTACTACGGTCCAACAGTATAGTATACAGTTGACGAAATTCCATGACTTCTGACCTGGGTAACGGCGTATACCCAATTCCTGAAGTGCATGTAATTCTTCCTCAAATTTACGCAGTTTCTGCCTTGCCAACGATTTCCAGTCATCTTCTCTATAAATATTTTACCGGTTATGGATATGTACCACCTAAATGTTTTCTAAGTTACCTCATATTATGACTGACAGACCACAAATTATCAACGAAATCGCGTTTGACTTTGCGTACTTCGCATTTGTAAATATTTTCAGAAGAACCTTCGGTGTAGCGAAACATCAAGCCGCCGAATCCACATAACATAATCAGAGCGATGCCATGGGAAAAGCATTTATTGCGTAGTTGTCTCATTTCAATCAAACTGTGTGGATAGTCGCGCTTGAGTTGGGTCCATTGTGTTCTTGCCTCGGTAAAAAATTGGCGCACAAAAGTTTTGCTGAACAATTTGTCAGAAGCTGGTATTAGCATATCGTGTTTGTCAACAATTTCGGTGGGATCAGAAGGCAGCGTTTCATTTGTCACTACTGTGGCAGAAGGTTGCTTTCTGAAGTACATAGATAACCTCTTGAAGATACCTGGTTCGGTAGGTGTAGTAGCTGTTGATTGATTTGTTTTCTCATCGCTTAAATTTTCCATTGTTTTCTTGACTATAGCTTTGGTGGGTTCAACTGCAGTTTTATTGTTGTCGCTCTCTAAGCTGGATTTTCTTCTGCGCACAATACGCGTATTTGTGTCCATGGTAAGACTCGCACGACGTTGCAAGGTTTCTGCATTGTTTTCAATAGTTGTTGGTTTTGGCGTTGATGTAGCGGTTGTGCGAACTTTTGTGGTGACTGGCTTTGGAGTCGCAACTTCTCCGTTTTCAGTTTCTGCTGTAAGTTTTCGTATTATTTCTGCGCGCTGCTCAGGTGTTTTGGAACGCCTTTGTGGTCGAATTGGTGACAGCGAGTTGTTCCTGCTTACCGCCTGTCGTGCATTTTTTTTAGGCGGCTCTGGTGGTGGTCCGCGTAAACTCTCTGTATGTAAAATTGCACGACTTGTGGGAGATAATTGTTTTGTTAGCCGCTTATGTGTTACTTCCTCCACATCAGCTTCAGATGATGAGAACTGTGTGGAAGATTCTTCATATCCACTGTGACGCGTACGTCGACGTACTGTTGTGGGTGCATCATTGCGCTGCAAACGCAAGCTGTGTACTAAACGCCGCCTTTCCTCCGCATCGGCTGGTAATTGTATTCGATCGCTGAGCTTACGATAGCTTTGCAGCAAACGCTTGCGTTCCTCGTTGTCCAACATTTGCTTATGCCGCTGTTTATGCTCACGCTTTTCACGCTCAAATTGTTGCTTCTCAGTATCGAAACGTTTGCGTTCTTCTTCAAAGCGGCGCAAATTGCGATCTAAACGGCTAAGATTCTCATCGGCTGCCGGAATTGGAGCATTCTCAGTACGCATATCAGGCGAAAGTGTGCGTTGCTTAGCGGTGGCAACTTCACATTCGCTGGATTCTTCTTTGTTCCGTGGTGATGATAAGCTGCGTTTAGCTGTACGTATAAGATCACTCGCTTCTGGATTTGAAAGACGTTCAGCTTCTCTTGGCTGCGAGAGACTACGCGCTGCTGCGCTGGCAAAAGTTTTATCTCTTCTGCGTAAAATTTTACTTTCATGAGCTGACATACTGCCCGGCGGACGTATTTGCATGCGCACAGTTTGTGCTGCAGTCTCCTCAGATGCAGTCGTGATATCCAATTGGCTGCTATCGTCTTCGGAATATTTCCGTCTGCCGTTCTGCACGAGGTGTGCATCTGGTGTTTGCTCACGTGTCGCACGAACGGGAACTCTACGTCTTCTTCGTACTGTTGTCGTTTCATGGTCCATTTTAATATTTTGCCACAGATACTTATTTTTGCAGACCCCAATTTGAAGGCACCAGGGTTATATTTTTTATATAATTACTTTTAATAATTAGATTTTAATATTTTTTTGTATTTAGCTTAATTTCCATATGATTTAGTTTCACTTTAATATTTTTGTGAAAGCGTCTCCCGCACTTCTGAATCTATTTTTAAAACGGCCGCAAGCGATCTTTCCACACACATGCAATGGCACATAATTTGATTGTCTTTATTTATGGCTTGCCAAATTTTTCTTCTCCGAAAATTTTCAAAATTATATCATTTTGACCCACATAAAGAAAAAATTTCCTGGAGTTTTTCACTTTTCATCCAGATATATGTTATTTAATTTTTAATTTTAATAGCGCTTATAATAAGAATTATATATTTCCACATCAACAAATATTTTGCTTCTTATATATTTTTCATAAAATATATGTGGTCTCTTGGTCGACCCGTCTGAAATCACATCGCTCGTTTTCCGTTTTAGCCACGTACGCTTCGTGGTACAAAAATAAACTGAAAAGGCAAATTTTCAGATTTGAGATGAAATATTTTTCTTTCATTGTCGGAGCAGAAAGACTGTCGCAGTCTGAAGAAAGCAGCTGAGCATTGCAAATATTTTGGTATGAAGAATTGGTTATGTATGTTCTCGGTGTTAGCACGGACCTTTGTTTACATCTAGATAAATATTTTCGAAACTCGTAAATAAATTATGTTTGAGAATTTCGGTGCACTTGTTAGGTGATGTCAAGCAGCCAAATTACAAGTCCAATTAAATCATCAGCGATGATGAGTCGAGAAGAGAATTAAATATTTTAGATTCTTTTTTTGAAAGCAAAACTAAAAATTTATGACGTCAATTTATTATTGGCAATTGCAGGTAGTTTTGTTTATTTCTTATTCGATAATCTGATACTAAAGTATTCTGAAAATCAAACCAAAATTATAGTTGTTTACCAAAAATGGTTGACTCCCTGGAAGATGTTAGAGCTTCTTTAAATAATAAATCTGCTTTACATTTTACTTTATATTCAATTTATTTTATATATATATTATATGTGATCTGAGACTTCGTATAATATTTAAATTACTAATATTTAAAAGTTCAGATGTTATGGTCTGATATCGGTTCTACATTTCATTGCTCATTATCATCAGCTTTAATATAGTCTGAAACCGACCAGCAGATCTTATAAGTAATGCCTAATACCTATAAATTGTACACACCTTTTTATTAACAAACAAGATTCCGTTTTCTGTCAATGCCTATCTATGCCCAACTTCAAAAGTCTTCTGCATCTATTACTTGGAAAAGGTGTTCACGGAAACATTCATATCTAGTTAGACATTGTGTTCTAAGACTGCAAACGTGATGCTACCAATGCTGTCATTTATTGTCAGCAGTGATGTATATTTCTAGATAAATGGTCTCTCTAAGAATTTCTCAAATTGTTTATATGATCGCTAAGGACTGTTCTTCAATTAATATTTGATCATCTAACAAAACTGCCTTTTTAGAAAGGCAGAACTCAGAATTCAAGCATATTTATCAGACATGAAATATTATATGATGTTTATGAAATATCTTATGTTACTCGCTCTTATGTGAAGTCAAATTTTTTAGTTGCTGGACTATGTGAGTTTTATTGTAAAATTTTTATTTAAAAATTGTTTTTTATTCAGAATTGAATTCTTGAAATTGGCTTGACTGTTGTTGCTAAAGAGCTTCCCACCTCCTCTGAAGCTTTGGTTTTTGTAACTAAACAATATAAAAATATTTAAAAGGTATGATAACTCAATAAATAAAAAATAATTAATTTTAAATATAGCGACTAATTAACATAATATTTTTTAATTATAAATTAATTTTCTCTATTATTATAAAACTATTTCTACATCTATTTTAAAGTAGCTTCCATTTAAATGAAGCTTTCGTATTATTTCTAAGACCGTACTTTTACGGTATTTGTTAGAACGGTATTTAAGACAAAAGTTTTGGTTGTTGTCTTTACTAGTTAAATTGTGAAATTTATTAATTTGCAATGACATTATATTTAAACTGTTGAAATTACATATTACAATTTATATTAGATAATATTAGAAAAAAAATAAGTTCGAAAAGTGGTTCTCTAAGTTAGGGAAATTATGATTTTTATATAAGACGTAATGTACTGTTTTAGTCATATAACAACTAACTTTATTTCCAATTATTTATAAAAGTTGTTACAAATGCAAATTAATGTTTTGTGTGGTCGAAAATGAGAGATCAGAACAACCCAGGGGCACTGGGCGGTTGTATAGTTTGAAATCTGACAGATGTGGACTCCGTAGTGAATGTGAGTTCCTAATGGTTAGATGACTGATTAATGTAATACAATATATATTATTGTACTATAATATATATTATTATATTATAATAAAGATTATTATATTATAATATATATTATTACAACATTTATACATCTGATATTCCAATGTTAGGTCCCTCGACTCTGGCGTTATATGCTGACGATACGTGTATGTTATACTCAGATAAATGTACTCTCAACATAACCAATACACTTCAAGAGCATATAAACCTCATTCTGGAGTATTTCCGCTATTCAGAAATGAAAATCTCAATGCTAAGAATAGGAAGCTGATATATAACCAAATAATTCGTCCGTCACTTCTCTATGGTTGTGTAACGTTTAGTAAAGCTTCAAACACTACTATTCGTCAGCTAGAAATTGCACAAAGCGAGACTTTGAGAAGACTTTTCAAAATACCATGGTACATTAGGACGAATGACATCCCCAGGGACCTCAAGATTGATCCCATCAAACAGTACATAAAGGATAGAGCCCTGAAATTATTTACGAAACCTGACAGACTTACCAATACTGTGTTATCGAATCTCAGAATGGTTACAGGCTCATCGGGGAGGTATGCAGATCTGAGGTTAATTATTGCTTAGTCTGATGAAGTGATAAACAAAGTGAAGTGATAATCCAGTCATGAGGGCCATGAGGGAATTTAGAACTGCTTGACTCTCTGACAATATAAGTTACATATGCCAGTGTCAGTACTGCTCCTGAGGTTACATTCGGCTTAATATTTTTTTCATTTAATTTGATAAATAATAAAAAAAAATATAAGTAGCCTACACTGACTTTCACCTTTCCAAATGAATTTATTTGAATAAAATTTGTAAAAAAAAACATTGTTTTTAATAAAATAAAAATTTATAAATTATTGCATATAAATTCAAATGTTTGATTTTAATAATTTTCCATTCATTAAATTGCAAACGAATAAATTTTATTTTTAATTTTCTAACGAAAAGTATGATATTGAGAATATGTGTATTTTTAAAATTTAATTAATAAACGCATATCCAACAAAGGCCATAAATATTTCCAAATAAAAAGCCAATAATACGCAAGCGAATCTGGAGCAGAGACCCGAGTATTTCGCTTATAAAACATATAAAATCAAGCAATAAAAATAATAATAAAAACTATAATAACATTTATTACCCATTGCCGCAATTAGATTTAGTAGATTTAATAGATTTAGTAGCAGTAAATTAAAGAAAAGAATCTCAACAGCGAGTTAATGAAATAAAAAATTAATTAATCCTTGCAATTAATGAGAGCCAAACATTCAGCGGCGAATATCGGAAGGTGGAATACCAGGAAGGTGGCAAGTGGTCGGTCGGTCTGAGGTGGAAGGTGGTGAAGAAGTAAAAGTTATTCAATTCATAAATTTTTCTCAACTGTCCGTGCACACTAATTTTGTGTTTGATTTGATTTGATCTAAAAATAATAATTAAATTAAGGGTACCTATATAGCAATTATGACGTCACATTGAAAAATATTTTATTTGTTTATTAAAAGATTGAAACGAATAAAAATTTAATTTACAATTTAAAAATTTTAACAAATAAATATTATTTTGTATTTGGTTACTTTAGCTTGTTATTGTTGCTATTGTTGTATTTCATTTTTCCAAATTTATTTGCACTATGCTTTGCCAAAAAGTACACCAGTTGAAAATAAACAATATTAATAATAATAAACAAATAAATTTGAGGAAAATTTCATGCTTTGTTGATTAAAATTATTTCAAATAAGTAGCAAATCACTTCTTAGTGAATCGAATTAGTCTATTCATCAGTGTTGGAAAATGTAAGAATAACCGGAATAATAATAATTTAAAAGATTAACGAAGTAGAATACAAAGTAAAATAATAACTTAAAAAAAAAACTCAATAAGAAATACAAATTCACAAACGGGAGCTTAAAAGTTTTAATATTAATTTTTTCTTGCCGAAAGTGACGCCTCTTAGGATGAAAAGAAACTATTTAAAATTTCGAAGGGTTCGAATAGAAATGAAAAGATAACAACTAAAATTTCGTTAATTTATTAAATTTGACTGACCTTACAACGCTGTTTCGAGTATTGTCAAGTACTCGTAATCAGTAATCTTTGAGGCAAAATTATGGATACTTGCAAACCCCGATCAGTGATTGAAATGAAAAGTGTATTCTTAAAATTTGACTACAGTTTCCGAGAGAGCATTTGCCGTATCAATGGATACAGAATTTAGGCTAAAACTGGGTTACATATTTGAAGTAATCTATAATTCCAAATACTACAGATACAATGTAAATCAGTGCAACGACTATCAATTAAGTATCCAACATGAATCCAACATCGTTAAAAACAAAGGTATGTAAAACAACAAGGTACATATGTAAAGTCTGGATCTTGAAATATTGTTAAATAACCGTCTACAAATAACTGAAGTGAAGTTCATTAGGATTATTGTATATCATTTAATAGTAAAAACAGGGTTGTGTGGAATAAAAATAAATGCGGACGTTTTAGTTTTGATACAAAATATAGATTTTGAATCCAAAATTAAGTTAGAGAATGAGCAGGTCATGTAACACTACAATAATTAGAAAATTTTGGTAAAAGAGAATGGTGGAGTGTGTCTGTTTCTTACTTCACTGATTTTACGGGGTTAGAACTGCATGAAGACAACTTGGCATTAATAATTGAGAACCGATTATAAGAAACTCTGCGTATACGAGGTATACATATATGTTGCATGGTATGCTAAGACCATACTTAAGCGATAGCGGCAATGAAGAAGAAAACAGTTTGATCTTATTTACTGTTTTTATTGTTCTTTATTAAATGTTTTATTATTTGTCTTAAAAATCTTAAACATCAATATTATACACATATTCAGAAATATTACTTTATTATCATTGGTATATAACAGTTTTTAATTAATGTTGAACTTAAAATTCATCATAAAATTTTATT